GGTGAAACTAAAGTAGTTCTTACCAGTGTGTTTTCACCAAAAGGCCGGTATTTTCATGTTATTCGTGCCTGAGAAGCAGAAATTAGATCAATCACCTACCGACTGTCGTAGTATAGATTACAGTTGATCGATCCATATCCGGTCTTTTGATTAACCTCTTGTTGGCTTGATTTCAAATAAGAGTGTAGGTTCAAATTTTCTCTTGAAAATCATTAAAACGAATAAATTATTACTAGCCCATTCATGNCAGAACTTCAGACGTAACCTGTCGAGCACAACGTAGAATGTGTTATAAAAAATATGCGACATGTTATAGATCTTCTTGTCTGTTTATCCTATACGGATGCGTGTTTATGTGAAATATTTTGTTTTCTGATCGAAAAAGCTTTACAGTGCTCTTCGGTAACGACACTATTTCATGGACAATCGTTCCGGAGTGATACATGGCTTAACATGCCGCTCAAAATACTTGTGGTGACACTACCTGCGATTTGTACAAAAGAAATCTACTTACCATCAAAATATTGGTAAATCGTTCGGAAAAATCCCACTGAATCACCACACCCGACGACACTAAGGTTACCGCAAATTTGAGGTTTTTCTCAAACCTATGTTGGTGTTTTGCGAATTCCTTACACATTAACGTAAGAATGTGTGGTATTTATGGATTTCTCACATACCCAAAATGCCTTCACTTGCGAGACAGCAGAAAGGAACACGTTTCGTTTCGTGAATCGCAAACTTTAGCAAATTTAGTGTAGGAAGTGGCGAACAGAAGCAGTGAAGTTTCATGCTGTTTTATACGGGATGCGAATTTATTGACATTCGAAATTGGTAGGTAAAGTGTTGCGTGAACGTGGAACAATAAGTGTTACGGACGTGTCCCATACTTACTTCCCATTCGAACAAATGACATGGAACTCACTAGGTGTGTGCAATGATGAAACCATACCAACTTCCTACATTTGTATAAAACCCGGTCGTCTTTGTCGTATATTCAGCAGCAAGAGAATGAATGTAAGACAAAAGCTTGTCTGTTACTATTTTTCCTTTTTGAAAATAGTTGATTCCTCATTTGACACGATACAAAGATTTTCATTGTGGGATTTCAGATGAAATCAATTTAGAGCTTTCAGCTCACTCACGAGAGCGCTGATGATTGGGTATTTTTCACGTGGATCCGCGTTTATTCGCTTCCGCAAACATTATTTTTTTTCTTAACAAATTGGGAGCCGAGGGTTTCATTTCTCTTTGAGTTGAATGCATTTTACCAAAGCACATTTAAATATCGTTCCGTGAATTTCAATTCATTCTTACCCTGTTGCTGCTTTTTTCATTCTATCCCTGCATACCGGTCTTCCCCACCCACGCTTCCCAATGGGTGTTCGTTCTCATCGGCAGACACAACGGTTTGAAGAAATCTGGCGTTATCGCGTTGATCCACTGACAGATATGGTGATCCCCGCAATGGGATCGATTTGTATTTACAATCAGGAGGAGGGGATTCCGTTGGACTCGAAGGAGCGCAAAATCTCTGAGGTGTCTCAGACGACTAAACGACGAAGACGTCTAGCGGCGTTTGGAAAAAATAAACCCTGGAAAACAATCGATTTACCAGATGACCGTCACTCTTCCACATTTCAGTTTACACGGCCTATTGTGGAAAGAAAGTTGGACGGCGTTGCCGATCACGTTCAGTCATTTAACTGGTTGGGAATAGATTTTGTGGAAACTGCACAATTGTCGAATATCAATACAGATGTGCATGAAGGCAGTGTTGCGGAAAAGCAACAAACCATTAACAAAACATCAGACTGCAAAGATATATTCAAAAATGGTGCCCAATCAAACATCGGTGGTACCGAGGTTGCAAGCAAGTTCTTCTGTCAACCAGTACGTTCCCGGCCGGAAAGTATCTCAGACAGCCCTGCGCATCAATCGGTGGAATCTAACACCAGTCCAAATGGTGGTTGGCAGCAATGCAAACATACTCAACCTTTGATAAGATGCAGTCCATCCCCTGGTGGGTCAAACATTCCCCCTCATAGACGTCAGACAACCAGTTTAAAACTGACGCGCAGCCCGTGGAAAGATGAGGACCTGTTTCGGGTCGATAGTGGGGCGAAACCAACCGAGATAAGCAAGTCACCTAGGCACTCGCTCACCAGACATTTTGCTCAACCCCCACCTATCCGACGCCGCAGGACGTTGCGCAATCTCGAGACTGCCAAATATCGTGTTCTAGCGGCCGAATTAGCCCATCGGATGGTAATCGAGCGTGGTGGGACAAACGCAAATGGGCATGCAAATCTGTTCGGAGAAAAGCCTTTGGAATTTCAACCGGACAGCTTGTTGGGCTTAAAATTCAGCGAGCTGGCACACAATACTGTGCATTCATTATCAGCTGTACAGACAATGGGACGGGCGAAAAGCACCACACGGTACAGCAACGTACGGAAATCTGAATTTCGCGTTGCCCAAGCCATGACAGAGACCGCAGCAATAACAATCGCACCGGTCGAGACGCAAGTGGCCATCGCATTACAGCCGGCCCTGAGTGTTTCTCCTCAGGATGAAGAAACTGGGCATAGTGAAGCGGAGTCAAGAAGTCCGAAAAGAACGCGACCACGTGCATCTCTGTTCATTATACCCGGTAAAACAAGCTGTTTTCTCAATCCGAAACACGACAAAAAGCACACCTCTCACTCCACGCAGCACAGTCCAGAAATGCAACTTCGACATCCAGTACACTACTTGAAACGTGACTCTTATCAATCCATAGCACGGAGAGACAGTGAGTTACCTTCTCTCTCTGACAAATCCGATGCAGCAGGACCCGCATCAAACGATATGCAAACGATGGAAGAGAAACCCACCGAGAATTCGAACACAAAGCCCCAGTCTACCAATATTTCCCCAGCTAAACTTAATTGCTAGTTAACTGCAAACATTTACTGGGTTGATCCCGATTTCAGTTGCAGCACAATCCGATATTTTCTTCATGATTCCTCTGCTCACAACGCTTACTTCACCAAAACGTAGTCGTATTGTAGAACCTGAAAGAACATGTTTGTCTCATACTTGATATTCAAGCAAATAAGCAATAAACTACACAAATAGCACGACACGAAAAAGGCTTTCGAATAAAACGTTCAACTGAAGACCGGCATTTGGAGTTGTCTGCGACACCCCGACCAGTAACATCATCACTACCGCCCCAATGCACATGCACCGAAATGCATACAAATCATACATAGTTCATCAGCGATATTGTACCTATTCATGTCGTCTAGATCTCGCGAAACACACCGACCCCGGTTCGTTCAGTGCCCGATTCCANTTCCTCGCACACTCAAGCTTCCCAAAACCATTACACTTTAACCGTTCTTCATTCTCATACCACCAGCATAATAATACACAAATGGAAGAAATCCATTGAACATTCTATTGCATCTGATAGACTGTCGCACTCAAAACCGGCAACTGTTTCTTCACTAGCCCATTTTTTATTTCACGGACTATATGCCTCCATTCAACCGAAATACAATAAACGGCCTTTGCGATTTGGACGAAATCGGGTTCCAGGCCCGCAATGCGGAATGCACACATCAGAAGCGGTGGGATTTCACTGCACTTGGATAGTTAGCACTACCAGACAGATTATTAAATGTCCAAATCACTGATAACCCACTCGGGACATAGGTTGTCCACTCAACTATCCAATAACTCATTCTTACAGATGGGCAAATTCAGAACAGTGCAAACAAGATTCATCGTAACCAATAGCTCACACATCTGAACGCCATGAGTGGATACACTCGTTTATTTTTTTTGCCAGATCCTAATGATCATTCGTTTATCATTCTTATTTCTAACAAATGTTCTTGTATTATTTTCATGTTTTGCCTGAAACTAAAGGGATGAGAAAAGAAAAGGAAGAAGTTTAGTCTGAAAATGAAGGTATAAAATTGACGATGACACACCTTTTCATATCAACTGACTGAACTCCTCCAATGGTAATCCGCTCACAAGGTCAATACAATTAAAGATGTGTACCAATGCAACTAAAAGCTCAAATAGTTGTTTGGCACATTCGAAGTTTGTATGGCTTTGGTTCGAATCCCACCGGTGCTATGAATTTTTCACAATCGCCAAGCAACTAAAAGCATCATTGATGGGGATGACCGAGAACACTGTCCTGCCGAGAACTCGTATATTGTTTGATGTCCTGTTCAGTGTAACGATCACTCCGCGAATAAATGAGTAGTGATTCCGTAGGTAACGATGTATTGTAATAATATAAGTATTTGTTTTGATACAGAAATCAGCATTCATGTAGGAGAGTGGCGTAACCAACCGAAGACCACTAATAAACACAACAGATACTAAGGTGACCGTTGTGGGGTTCGAAAATACATTCTGAGGTGACGAAGTCATCGCGTATAACAGTCGACCAAAACCACTTGGTAAAAGGCTGAAATAATGTAGTGGGTTGTGTTATAGTTGTAATTCCAAACGACCATATAGACTAACGTTTAGTGACGCGCAACCTGACAAGCCAAGTCCAAAAGTACTAGATGTTTATTCGACTCCAAACAATAACGACTAATAATGCGGCACTGTAAATATAAAGCGTCATAATGGCATAAGTAACACATATCAGATCGTGGCGTTCCATGAACAGGTGAAATGATCAATATCAATATTGAACCAGGGTGCAAGTGAGTGAACGAGCGATAAGCGAAATAACGTCAGAGCGCACATGTGCACATGGGACAGTGCGACGCATGGTTGAGACAGGCACAATCCAAACAAGATTAAGATACCGATACGATAATCAGAAGACGGTGAGTTTGACCATATCAGGGGCATGAACAACGGTCGCGAGATAGAGGGAGAGATCAACGGGCTTTGTGGGCGAGCAAAGAGATGGAATCATTCGTGGCGAACGAAAAGTGCATTTTTGGTAATCGGGTCAAGTCAATGACAGCAAGAGAGCGGTGGCTAAACAGATTTATGAGTGAAAGCTTATGGAGGATGTTTGGTACCTTGATTCAACAATAGCAATGCATTATTTGAGGTGCGATGCCGGCAACACGCTCTACCATTAGGACCCCGGTTTCGATCCCCAGTTGGGTCGATGGATTCGCTCCGCTGACGACACTCAACGAGGTGTAACAGCTCCGGAGTACGTCTCAGCTTTCCTCTTCACTCCTAAATACCTGCATATAGGACGAATTCTTTATTTAATTTACCTATTTGCCAAAATGTTATCATCCCAGTTGTGGCAAGGTACAAAAAATGTAACGGCTCTTCAATTTACGATTTCAACGTTGTGGCTAAGACCTACAAAGTCTGTAGGAAATTTACACAAAAATTCGAATGATTTGTCACAAAACGTTTGTGACACACAAATGCATGCCTATGAAGTACAAGACTCAGAAGTCGTTTGAATAAGTCTATTTCCCAAAACCAGTAGTAAACTCTGCAAGACTGCTGTTCGATTGCGGCTTCCGAAAGCAAACTTGTGGCATACAGTTGCATCTAATCAGCAGTGTAGACGTTGTGCTATAGCCAGACGTTCACCATTAAATACATTTTCCTCTCTAATGTGTACCAATGGTAACGAACACTTCGAGATGCTTCCGGCATTGAGTGATGTGCCAAACCAGAAGACTGACTCGATCTATACCTTTCCAACTTCAAGTGAATCCGTTGTGACTTCAAGTGAATCCAACCAATCGCACTCCTTTGAGAACCCCACAAGGTGATTGGTGTTTCGGCCGTCAAGTGTCACCGATTGGACCGGGTCTGTCCAAACCCCGTCCAGTCCGAATGAACTCACTTCGTCCCGCAAACAAACAAAAGTACTTTTTGCGCGAGTTACCGATCGAGGATGAAAGTTTCAGTGGGGTGAGGTGGGCCATTCTTACCGCCGACAGGAGGATATCAAGTAATTGCTATGACTGTGTAAAAGACGTATTTCTTTCCTTGATCTTGTAACACCGCACTACTCAGTAGCAGTCGAGCACAGTTGATATTTATACTGGATTCGGAATGTAAAGGAGAGACAATTGGTCAAAACTTATGAGGCACATATTCGTCTGTATCTGAGCTCGACATGTCCCCTTGTATGTTGCCGCAGCACATACATACTGCTTACCTGATTCCCTTATGTCGGTGAAAGAATTAACAGTATTTCACAGAAATACTTTACCTTGCTGATGTCTATTTACTCACATAACTCTGGTCGGAGTAAGATATATGACGAACTAAGAGGGCCGTTCGTTACCGGCTGCGGCGTTCATCAAGGTTTTCTTCTGTCACCGTTCCTGGTAAATTTCGTGCGACTGGTGTTACTGAGCTTTTGCCATATGACTTGCGTTTCACGGAATGAAGCAAACAAATTACGGTAAGAGTTACCGAAAAGCGGTGTTTTTCTGTCCATTTTAGTCGGCGGATGGATTAGGCCTTCCTTTCAAAACATGCACACACACAAAGACCGACATGAGGATATCAAGTAAGCAATATGCATGTGATGAACACAATTATTGTCGGGTTCGTTCATTCGCGTCTATGAAGCACACACGATCAACGATCACGGAAAAAGTTCCCTGGTGGAACGGGTGTGTGAGTGAGGGGG